CAGGGGCTGCTTGCCCACTCTGTTCTGAGCAGTCCTGTAAATAAGGGAACCAAACCCTTTTTGTGAGTCAGTTTTATAATCTGTATGACCAAATATCTGAGGAAAAACAAAAAACAAAAACAGCTTAAAGGAAGAAGGATTTTTGTATTAGTCAGTGTTCTCTAGAGAAACAGAACTTATGGAATGAATATGCGTATATATGTATCTATGCATGCATATATATATATATATATATATATATATATGGATATACTTACTCTGTATAGCAAATCAAATACATGCATGTATATGACTTATTAGAATGACTTACAGGCTGTGGTCCAACTAGTCTAACAGTGGCTGTGTACCGATGGAAGGTCCAAGAATCCACTAGTTGTTCAGACTGGAAGTCTTAGCTGGTCTTATACACCACAATCCTGAACGAGTAGATTGTAATACCAGTGAAGGAGTAGACTGCTAGCAAGAGCAAGCAAGCAAAGACAGAACAAACTTGCTTCTTCCAGGTCCTTTATATAGGCTGCCAGAAGAAGGTATGGTCCAGACTAAAGGTGAGTCTTCTCAGTGCTAAAGATCTGGATTAAAGGGGTCTCTTCTCACCTCAAAGATCTGAATCAGAGGTGGGTCTTCCCAGTTCAAAGGGTTTAAGAATACACCATTCAGGTTGTTTGGAGTGGTGAGCACACACCTTTAATTCTGGCCCTTGGGAGGCAGAGATATTTGGATCTCTGAGTTTGATTAGCCTGGTCTGTATAGTAAGTTCCAGGATATCCAGTGAGATATAGTGAAACCCTGTCTCAAAACAAACAAACAAACAAACAAACAAACAAACAAATAAACTAGAGAGAGAAAAAAAGGAAAAAAATATTCCTCTCAGGTGTGCCCAGTCATTTGAATTTTAGCTAATTCCAGATATAATCAAGTTGACAACCAGGAGTAGTGATCACAGATTCATTCAGTCTCATTGTTACAGAGGACTCAGCAGCAGGCAAAAAGCAAATGCCTGCTAGAGGCTGCCTTTCCCATTTCCTCCACACAGACCTAAGCCTGTGGGGATGGAAATGCCCACATTCAAAGCAGATCCGAACCCCTTGGTTAATTCTTTCTGCGAGCACTCTCACCAGCACTCTAAGTTGAGCTCTGCTGCTCCCTCAGGTGCCTCTCGATGGGTCAAGCTGAAAAGCAAGGTGAACCTGAGCCAACTCCTCTCATCTCCCAAGCCTCATTCATGGTTGTGTTCTCAGCTTGTGAGCACACTCTGTGCTTAGCATTCTCTCAGTCCATTCTGTAGATCTCAACAGATGAACCCAGAGGAGACTTTCTGCTTTTAATTGAAAAAAAGATTTTTTGTTTCTTTCTCTCTCTCTTCCTCCCTCCCTCCCTCCCTCCCTCCCTCCCTCCCTCCCTCCCTTTCTTCCTTCCTCCTTCCTTCCTTCCTTTTAAGGATTTGTTTATTTTATCCTATGGGTATGAACGTTCTGCTTCCATGTTTGTATGTGCACCACATGTGTACCTGGTGGTCGTGGTAGAGTTCAGAAGAGGGGTGTCACATCCCCTAGAACTGTGCTGTGAGCCACCCTGTAGGTGCTGAGAACTGAACCCAGTTCTGAATCTTGACAGGAATAGTATATCTTCCCAGTGCCTCAAAGAGATACTTTCAAAGGATGTACCAAAGGCCACAAGGCCATGACCCCATGTAGGGACAAACACTCTGGCTTATTGTGTACCTAGCTCACTTCATAGTCCATTCCATGGTGTGAGGATGAGCCAGTGCTGGAAAGCTTGGGGGTTCCGGAGCAGCTGATCCCTGTTAATTCAGCACCTTGGGAAGAAAGGAAAGGAAGCAAAAACGGGGTCTGTTTGCAGTGGGATAGTTACAGCTTTGACTGTTGCTTCTGTGCTTCAGTGAGGGAAGAAACAGATGGCTTCTCTGCCATGTTTATCAAATTGTAGTTTTCCAAGTGAGAGAAAGGGGTGGATGTGGGGAGAAGGCTGGGCCAGCCATACCTCCTAGGACTGTTTTCCTGACTCTGCAGTCAGTGATATGGTCCTTAGGCTGCGTTATTCAGGGATTAGAATTAGACATCAATTCCCATGGTTGATACTGATATTCTCAGCATATTGGACAGTTCTAGAAGACAGAAGAGTACGAAACTCAGGTAATGTGTGCATACGTACATGTAGTGTCAAGATGACCTTGAGGAAGAGAGGAGAGAACACTCAGCCATACACTGGAGGACACATGGGTGTCAGGGGTACTCTGTGCTTCTTTCTCTGGTTACTAATACCTTGCACTGGCCCTGCAGCTTGCAAAGCATTTCTGTGTTCAAGAGAGTTGATATGCAAAGGTCTTTCCCCTGTTGCTGATGGGTAGAAAACTGGAACAGCCTGTGGGTCTTAACAGTGGCTGGTACAAATATGTAGGAGGGAGGGTCACAAAGGAAGTGACACATTTGAGCCTGACAGTCTGGGAGACAGAGAGGAAAGAGACTCAGCCAAGAGAAAGGACCCGAGGCTGTATTTTCTTGTGGGGCAGTTTCTGTGTCACCAAGCCAGACCATGCTTCCTGACGAAGCCTCCCCCTGGATGCCTTCCAGGCATGGCCAGCTGACAGCAACAGGCTGTGAGAAGATGATGTGTTGAGGCAGGGAGCCCCGGAAACTGCCCATTCCCAAGCCAGAGGGCCTGTTTTCCATTTCTTTGATGGCTCCACAGCACACTTTCCCAGGAAAGTCTTAAAAAGTGTAAATCCTCTTTCGCAGAGTAAAGCACATCCTCAAAAGTAGACACAATGAGAAGTTCAGTGTGGGTTAGGCAGCACCTGGATGGATGGAGCATCACCCCTTTCAGAATGCCCTCTCCCAGTCATTCGACCTAACTTTTGTTTTGACTTATTTTTCTTTTGTGATTTTAATTAGTTATTGTTAATTATTTGTGTGTGCATCTGTATGTGTCTGAGGACACCTTTGTAGAATCAGGTCTTTTCCTTCTACTCTTACGGGGAATCTATAGATTAAATGCAGGTCACCAGGCTTGTGCCCCTTGTTTTGGCTTCTAAGAGCATAAGAGCACCACAGAGAAGTTTAGCTTTCTGTGTTTTTATGTACTCTCCTGCCGTCTTACTTGATCCTCCACTCGCCCCTGCCACAGTAATCTTTGAGATATGTGCTGTATGTATGGCTGAAACTCAGTTCATGCTCATTGTTCTTTAGATTCTGTGTGTGCTTTTAAAGTCCAGCCTATAACTGATGTGCCTTTCCGGAGTTTCTTAGCGATGCTGGGAGAATCTCAGGCTTGAGTCTTGTTGTCCCTGTGCACATAATTTCATGCAGTTATGCCAAAGACTGGAGAGCCTAGATTCATAGGATATGTGTCTACTCCACATGGGTAAACTGTGTATGGCATTGTCCCTGTGTATTACTTTTAAGGGATTGTCTTCTTCAGACAGTCTACTGTCTGTCTACTCCATTAACTGGTCTCTGTGTTCTGTTTCGTTCATTTTAGCTTTATTGGCAAGTAAGATAGCAGGTACAATGAAAATGCTCTCTATGAGAAAAGCATTTGGTTTCGAGGACACCTGAAGCCCCATGTGGCAAGCCCTCCCATGATGTTTTCTGGGCAGGTGAGAATATGGTATGGTGCCCTTTCTTCTGAGCATCCATGCTGTCACTGTCCTTTGTCAGGAACTACCACTTGGCTACTGTAATGCTCAACCAGCCGTATGAGAATTCTTTCTCAGGTGACAGAACTTTAATGGACTCGACCACAGCAAAGTAAACTTGGCTTCAGGGCTTCAGATTTGCCCATGGGACTCAGTGAATGTTTAACCATATGTTCCCCATCTTCTCCTCTTCTGCTAACTGAGGCTGTGCTGTAAACCAGAGTTCCCCCTTTCCTCTTGATGTCTTACCCTCTGAAAGACTAAATTGACTCCAGATCTGACGGTCAGCCGCTGAGCTCCTCCTAGTTGCTGCCCTGGGTCTCAAGTTTCTTAGCTCTGCAACCAAATCAGAACAATATATAAATCATAGCCTTTTCTGTGTGTGAAGATGAAATGAGATTACATATGTGGGAAATGCCTGGATGTTTAGTCACAGCCATCTTGGGTAGGTATTCATATTCCTCATAGGGTAGCTTAGGACACTGTATAGAGCCTCAGATTGGGAAGACAGACTGACTGCCTACCTTCTAGCTGCTCTCTTACTAGTGTGAACCACATTCATTGTCTGTGCCCCCAAATATGATCTGGGAACTTTGTTAAAGAATCCCAGGTGGTTGAGCCGTTGTGTGGGATATGGTAGGCCAGGGCTTTTAGCAGGATGAATGACAGATGCTCCATGAAGGGCCATTAGTGCTCTCAGGTGGCTGGGGAAGTTCAGGCTCCAAGCTCTGATTTCTAGGATAATGTGAATGCACTGGATAGAGGACACCAAGACACAGTAGCTGAACCAGTCTAGAAAGGCCCAGGAATTGCTGAATGAATAAGAGAACACGCCCCAGGCCCTGTCCTGGAGAAGCAGCTCATAGAGCAGGCAGGACCTGGAGCCAGGCCAGGCTTATGTGGTTGCCTTTAAAAAGAAACAAAACAAAGACTGACTTCCGACCAGCTGACCCTAAGCTTCTAAGCCTAGTCGCTCCCTACTGGGACCTTTCAGACCTGCTGGGTAGCCTGGCTGGGTGCCAGGTCTGGCCTTCTATCAGCCTAGGCAAGCTTCTAATGCTAACTTTCCTCTCCTCAATACTGTGGGCTAAGTCCTCCTGGAGCTAAAATGTCCCTGCCTGGATGGTAGCAGCCAGCTTAGTGGCACTAACAAAAGTATCTTCTTTCTCTGTAATCTTTTCCCAAGGCTTTCTACTCAGCTGTGCTTGGATGCTAGTGTCACCTAGAGTATTTTGCTGCACATTCCTTTGTGAGCAGTTCAGGGTCAGGTATCAGGAAAGAGGGATAATAGCTACTGTAGCCTGTGATTGTGCCAACATGATTTTCTTCTCCCTTGTCTCAGGCCTGACCTTCTTAACATGGCTATGGTAAGAAGATGTCCTCCAACAGGCTGTGCTTGCAGACTACATGGAGCCTCTCTTGGGGATTTTTCTGAACCCTGTGGATTTACAGTAAGACCCAGTTTCCTAGGGAGTAATGCTGGTGGATGAAGATTCTGGAATAGCACACCTGCCTTGCCTTGGGATGCTACAAGTGGCCCAATGGATTCTTCCAGCCTAGATGCCCACTGGGGACAAGGACCATAGCTGAGAGGACTGCATCTCTACCCTTGACTCAATGGGAATGTCTGCTCTCATCTCTTGGGCAACTTGGAGCTCCCTCTAACATGTAAGTCCCTAAGATCCACCTCCTTTTGATGAAGCATTTCTGGCATGTTCCTGTGCTTTAGACCAAGCTGTCCTGGCTAGTGGTTAAAGGCGCTCTGTTGATATGGCTGTTATGAGAAGATTTGTTGGCTTCTGTGTTCGTCTATGTATCTGGTGTGACACTGGGAGCCTGTGGGAGATGGACAAAAAGTGAAAGTTGTTATTAATTAAAAAAAAAATAATTCTCCCTGGAGAATTATTATTCTACCCATGTTGATGGGTACTGACTAAAGGTTCTTATTTCTGTCTAGTCTGTGAACATTTTGAAGGCCAGGGTTTGAGGAGGATGTCTGTGTGGCATGTGCTCTCTTACTGTGCAAAGAGGATAAATGAAGATGTGATGGTTAATGCATTAAGACACTAGCAGTACCACTGGGAAGATAGATGCAATACAATCATTTCTTGGCTCCATGCCTAGAGCTGAGAACACCGTGGGACCAGATGGTTGGTACCATGAAAGGTGTGTGTCAGTAGGTGGCTGTTCTGGACTTAAGTCTCTACCAAACAATGTGACTTAGAGCCAGTGACAGTCAGGCTCCCTTTCTTTCTCTCATCAGCAAGACTAACGTTAGTATTTTCTTCTGTCACCAAGTTAGTGTTGAGGCTCACAACAGGCACCATCTATAGAGCATGTGCTTGATGCCTGACAGAGTCAGGGCAGTGCCAGTGCAAGGAAGCTTCTGTGGAGGGTAAGTGTCGGTTGGCCCTGAGAAGTTTCTGAGCGGAGCCAGGCAAGCAGTGCTAGACTTTGCACCAGACACTGTGAGTTGGCCCATGTGCAGCTATGCGGGTCATAGTTCCTACAGTCCGCTGGAAGGCTGAGCATCAGGCCTATAATAGACAAGGGAAACAAGCCTCCTGCCAGCTGGTGGGAGGGAGTAGCAGACTTGACAACCAGCGCTCCTGTGGCTCTGCAGCTGACTGGCAGGAAGCTTGACCCCTCAGGAGTTGCCAGGTTGGTAGAACCCAGAGATGTTTACTGTAGTACCAGGCCACCTGAAGGAGAGTGGTAGCCCCCCCTCCCCACTAGGAGGTAGCACAGTGCTCATGTCATCATTCAGCTGCCAAAGTGGCACTTGAGATAGGATCTGCTTGGGATGAGCTTCTCTAGGTCTAGGGTGCCAATGATAAACTCCTGGGCAGGCCTTCTTGAACTGTTCGTGTAAACAGAGTGAGTCCTCTGGTTATGGTATGTTGTTATTCACAGCTCCTAGATGTGCCACTGACTTCATGCTGGAGGAGTCTGAGAACCTCACTGTCTTGCTTAAAGGCTGGACACATCATACACTGCTGCAGCAGAGTTGGTGTGACACGATGGTGACCCACTGTGGTTTTCTTGCAGACCCACTGACAATCAATAAGAGCATGGTCCTTTGGGACAACTGTGTAATTCAATCCAGCTGTCCCTTGGGTGGGTAGTGTGTCTTCACCCTGTAGTTGAGAGCCATGAGGTTTGTGACTTTCATAGGTATATGCTTAGGAGAAGGCCAGCTGGAAGCTAGAAGCCTGGCTACCTGGTGTTTTATGCAGAACCAGTAAGGTCAGCTGAAGAAGGAAGTCTTCTAGGCCTGGAGGTATATGTCATGGGACTTCCTCCTGTAGTTGCTCTTACGCTCTTAAAACCTACAGTCCTCTTTCCTATGAGGGAAAAGAAAAGACTTTAGGGCATCAGGGGTGGACTGGGGCTGGAGCTGGATCAGACTGGGAGACAGTACTCAATTATTGCTCATGGTCTAGGGCAGAGGTTCTCAACTTGTGGGTGGGACCTCCACAGGGGTTGAATATCAGATATCCTACATATCAGATATTTATATTACTATTTGGAACAGAGGCAAAATTATAGTTATGGAGTAGCACTAAAATAATTTTATGGCTTGGGTTACCACAACATGAGGAATTGTGTTAAAGGGTTGTGGCATTAAGAAGGTTGAGAACCACAGGTCTGGGGGGGGGGGGGCTCTGTGTCTTTGGTAAGTGGGCACTTGCTGGATGGTGTGTACAGAGCTATACTTATGGATCTGCCTGATCTGGGGTGGTGAGTTGGGTTGTTTCAGGGAGGGGCTGCTAAGGCTCTTAGTCTCTCTGTGTCTTCATACCATCTTCCCCATTCTTCCTCTGGGACAGTTGCACCTTCCTTATCACATGGCCCACAGTTCCCTCTCTCTTCTTTTATTGGTTACTCCCTAGAATAACCCTTTCATGGTGGTTCCCTTTATCTCCTGTTCTCTCAAGAGGGTGAAGGTGGACTCAGCCTCCAAAAACCATAGAATCATAATTGTGAGAAATAATTTGGTGACTGGATGGGTATCGATATAACGAATGTCATCATTTATTTGGCCAGTGCAGGATGCATGGCAGACACTGAGCCCACATATGTGTCACAACAGAGCCATGGGGTAGACATTGTTAAGATCTGAGTCCTGTTAGAAGAATGAATACAGAATGGTAAAGTAGGTTTCTCCAAGGAACACATGGCTGCCTCACTCCACAGCCATGGATCGCAATGTCTGGAGCTGAAAGATGTGACTTCTGCTCCCTTCCTGTTCCCTCTAGTGACTGTAACTTGGGACAGATTACCTTTCTTTTGGTCGGCTTGCTCGTTAGTAGGGAACTATGTGATTTTTCTTCTAAGCTGAGGAGCTTGGGAAGGAAAGGGTCACCATGACACATATTGGGGGATGACAAGTACAAGCCACACAGACACCTGGATAGAACTTGTAGGACCTGTAGCCTCCAGCCTTAGGCCCAGAGACCATGGGTCTCCCCAGGTGAATGATTGGCACTGTTGGTACTCATGCTTTAGATGCTGGCAGTACTACTGCTCAAGTGCTGGTTGTCCTGGCACTGGTGGTGCTGATGGCACTGGTTGTGGTGGTATTGGTGACTCCAAGGCCCCTGGCAGCTCTGCCTTTTCTTTCTTCTTGTGGTTGCAAGAGCAGGCAGGATTTCTGTTTATGGTTCACTTCAATCGTTCCTCAGCTGCCTGGCAGGACATGTGTCCCATTGATTGCTGTTTTCAATACTGGTTTTCCTTAATGGGTTTCTGTGCTGATGGAAACACATGCTCTTGTCCATGGAGGGCTGCTCCTCAACATCCTCCAGCCTCCATTCCTGGAGATAAACAAGCACCCTGGACCTGTGCCCACATAGGGGTACTGAAAGCCCTAGGGAGTCTGCAAAGATTTGGCATGAAAAAAACCTGAGCCTCTTTCATCTCTAGGGCTTGCATTCCTCTGCCCTGGGCTGTCTATGAGCTAGACCAATCCCCCTGAACTGGCCTAATTTGGTGGGGTGGGTGTGGCCCTCTGCTTCACATTTGCAGGCATTAAGGTTCAGAGAGATCTAGATGGCCACAAGGTCATCCCAGTTCTCCGTGGATGTCCCAGAAGCTGTGCTTACGCTAAGACTTGTCATCAGCCTGACCTTCACTGTTGCTTGGAGAGTGTGTCTCTGAGTGGGTTGATATGGACTGGACTGAAGATGATTTTGGTTGTAGACAGGCAAGTTGTTTTAGAGAAGAATGACTTTTGCATATATTTTAAGAAACTCGTAAAGAACCGCTGCTGGCGCATGAGGACTGTGGTATCTCAGATATCACTGCTAAGAGTATAGAAATCTAATTTAATAAAAGATGATCACCATTTCCAAAATAGGAGTAGGCTTCTTAGCCTTGAAGGGTCCTCAACTTGGAGTATCGGTCCTTGTTTGCAGGTGTGGTACTGTGGCTTTGGGGAGCTCATGACATCACCGTAACAAAATCTCAGAGATTGTTGTGTAGTTTGGGTAGCTGTGGGTCCTGCCTCACATTTGGTGAGGCTGTGGGCCGCTGTGCTTCTCGCTGAAGCGGAAAGATTTCTTGTGAGACGGCAACTTACTATATGGGTGTTTTGCCTGCATATATGTCCGTTCAGCATGTTCTTGTATGTGTACACAGCATGTGCATGCATGTCTTTGTAGCACGTGCATTCAGTGCCTGCAGTCTAGATACTCTGAAATTGGAGTTATGGGCACGTGTTAGCTGCCATGCGAGCACCGGCAATTGAACCAGGGTCCTCTGGAAGAATGAACAGTACTCCTAACCATTTGGCCATCTTTTCAGCCATCCTCCCCCCCCCCCAGCAGCTTATTATCATGTGAGGGACTGATTGCAGGTACTGTGCGGGCCCTGTCCACTTTCTCATGCACACTGAACACCCGGAGCACTCCAGTCAGTCCTTCCATTGCTCCAGGCTGAATCACAACCTAGTAAATATTCCTACTGCATAGTCAACTGGTGACTTCATTTCCCTCATTCATTTCTTCTCAGTGATTAGAGGCTGTTATCTCCCCCACAACTTTAGAGTGAGAATTAAATAAAAGTACACATTTGAGCACTTGAGTCAGAAGGGTTCTTTTTTTTTTTTTTTGGCATATAACATGTACTCAGGGAATATTAGTTATTTTTAAGTAAAATGTTGAAGTAGAATTGGAAGATCAAAACACACAGACACAGAGAAATAAGAAAATGCTGAAGATGTGTCATGACTCACAGAAATTTAATGTTCAATCTAGCTCTGGGTTTCTTAGTTATCACAGCATGCTGAGTGGGTTATATTTGTGTCTAAATTAAGGTTTGGCAAACCTTTCCTACTCGGGGCTAGAAAGTAAATATTTTCAGCTTTGGGAGTCCTGAAGTTCCCTACTGCTCATCCACACTACTACTGCTTCTGGGAAGCTGCCAGTGGCAGTATGTAAATGAGTGGGTGTAGCTGTGTGCCAATAAAACTTTATTTTACAAGAACTGGCCAAGGGCCCATAAGCTGTCATTTGTCCTTTTAAATGAGGAAACCTATCTGTTTGTCTTTGAAAGAAACTTCTCCTGTATTATAAACACCGGAGGGGAGTTTGTTGTGAGATATAATATTTGTATGAGGCTGTGAAACAGCAGATGGGCAGCGTTTTCATTGGTTTTCACAGGAAACA